GCGAGGGACCGACCCTTAAAATAAAAAACCCCCAAAAAAAAAAAAAAAAAAAAAAAGAGTGCATCAGAAAGTTCATGGAAACCTGGAATTAAAGTACAAGCTTATTTTGGTGCAAAAGCAGGGCAGCCCATGGTGTAACTCCCAGTCCAAGGCCAAAGGCCTGAGACCCAGGAGCTCCAAGTCCTGGGGCCACTCAACAGAAGAGAGATTTCAACTTGTCTCTGCCTCTTTGTGCTCTAGGCCTGCAACAGTCAGATGGTGCCTGCCCCATGGTGAGGATGGATATTCTTAAGTCTACTCATTCAAATGCTAATCTCTTCCAGAAACACCCTCACACAAATACCCCAAAACAATGCTAACCGACCATCTAGACATTTCTTTGCCAGCTTCAGTTGATACACAAAATTAACCTTCACGACACAAAAACCTCTCATTAAAATGAACAGAAAAAAAAAAAAGAAAAAAGAAAAAGAAATGGGCCAGCCCCATAGCCTGGTGATTGAGGGACCTAGATCCCACACAGCCATCCTCATGGTTTGAGCCCCGACCCTGGCAGCACTCCAGGTGTTCATGTGTGCATGTCCAACAGGATAGAGAAATGGAGGAAAAGGAATTGCAACATGACCTTGCCCCATCTTGGGGATGCTTTCTCCCCCCACCCTGTCCGATGTCTCTCGGGTGAATGTACATGTCAAAAAATCATAAATGTCGGGAACCAGCAGTTAGCATAATGGCTATGTCGCTGGACTCCCACGTAGTCGACCGCGGTTCGTGTCCCGGACCCGGTGGCTTAAAACTCATGCCGGGCGCGTGTGCGTGCGTGCCCAAGATCCCGAGAGGAGAATGGAGGAGAAGGGATTGCGGCGTGACCATCCCCCCTGGGGGGGTGATTTCTCGCTTTCTGTCTCTATGTCTCTCTCTGTCTGTCTGGCGAGCGCACGCGCCCTACAGTGAAAAATCTCTCCAAAAAAAAAAAAATCATAAATGTCAGGAGGAGAAAATCAGGAATGAGAAAGGTGACAACACTACAGAGTCTACAGATACTAAAGGGATAGTTAAGAAATAAGTTTATGTGGGACCAGCAGTTAGTGTAATGGCTATGTCTCTGAACTCCCATGTAGCCCACCACAGTTTGAGTCCCGGACCCAGTGGCTTAAACTCACGCCGGCGCAGTGTGCATGCGTGCCCAAGATCCAGCAACATAGCCATTACCCCAACTGCTGGTCCCGACACTGGGATTTTCTTTGGGTAAAGTTTTTTTCCCTTGGGTAAAGAAAGGAGAATGGAGGAGAAGGGATTGTGGCATGTCCATCCCCCTGGAGGGTGATTTCTTGCTTTCTATCTCTCTGTTTTTCTGGTGAGCTCACGTACCCTATAGCAAAAACCTCTCCCAAAAAAAAAGAAAAGAAATAAGCTTTTGTCTGGGGACCAGCAGGAGGCAGCATGGTGGTTAAGGCGCTAGACACTCCCACAAGCAACCATGGTTCGAGTCCCAGGCCTGGTGGCTTGATTTCCCACTTTCCTTCTCTCTGTGTCTCTGTCTCTGGATAAATTAAAATAAAATGAATTAATAAATAAATTAAATAAATCATTCTTTTTAAAAAGAAATAAGTTTATGTCAATAAACCCCAAAATTTAAATAAAATAGTTTACTCAAGAAGAAATAGTCCTGAATAGCCCTTATCTATTAAAGAAATTGAATTTGTGGGCCAGCTGGTGGCATGGTTAAGGCAGCTGAATTCCATGTGGCTGACTGGTTCAAGTCCTAGATCTAATGGCTTGAAAAACATGCCAGGCACATGTGCGAGCATGTCTAAAATTTTGAGAGAATGGAGGAGAAGCGATTGTGGCATGGTCATCCCCCTGAGGGGTGCTGTCTCACTGCCCACATGTGTGAGCTCATATGCCCTATAGCAAACTTTTTAAAAGAAGAAATTGAATTCATAGCTTAAAAATCTTTACCCAAGGGAAAAAATCTTTACCCAAAGAAAATCCCAGTGTCGGGACCAGCAGTTGGCGTAATGGCTATGTCGCTGGATTCCCATGTAGTCGACTGTGGTTTGAGTCCCAGATCTGGTGGCTTAAACTCACACTAGGCACCTGTGCGTGAGTGCCCAAGATCCCGGGAGGAGAATAGAGAAGAAGGGATTGCGGCATGGCCATCCCCCCTGGGGGTGATTTCTCACTTTCTGTCTCTCTCTGTCTTTCTGGCAAGCGCACACACCCTATAGCAAAAACCTCTAAAAAAAAAAAAATTAAACTGGAACCAGCAGATGATGTGGTGGTTAAGGCACTGGACTCCCACATGGATGACCGTGGTTCAAATCCCAGACCCAGCAGCTTGAAAATCACTCCTAGTGCATACGCATGTAAGCCCAAAATCCTAAGAAGAGAGGAAAATGAAGAAGGGATTGCAGCAGGGCCATTCCCCCAGGGGAGAATTTTTCACTTTCCCTCTCACTGTTTCTGTCAAGTGCATGTATCCTATGGGAAAAAAACTAAAAAACAAAAAAAAAAAACCCAAACCACTTAAACCCCTGAGCTAATTTTAAAATATATGTTGTTATAAGACAAAGCTAAAAATAACATGCTACAAATTAAGAAAATGTACAAGCTAATTATGTT